ACAAATAATCCCCAAATTTTCATTATTTGGTGAACTATTCCTTTAAGAAGCAGGGATATGAGCACATTTAGAACATTTCTTGCTGGCAATTTATTTTTTACCTCATACTGTTCCCATTTAAAGGAGATTTATTGTGTTATTTGTTGCAGCCTATAAAGAGGAAGATTGATACTAACAAACATGCATCTGGATAATGGATAACAATCAGGAAGTAATCCATCTACAGACAAAAGTCAGCACTCACGTTGCTCAGGGTCGAAAGGCAAGGAGCCAGGACATTGTTACATGTGTGCCCGCCCTAATCTTCTGCATTACTATATCAATTTCCATCAGAAAATCCCTTGCATGGGAAAAGCAGACAATATACTATGTGGAGAATTCTGCCATTTACAAAACATACACATTCAAAAATGGTCAGATTCTTTGTGTAATAAAATGTATGAAAGCTCACTCTCCATTTTAAACCTCTGCTGCATAAATGCCAAAAAAAAAAAAAAACAGCAAAAAAGAAAAAAAAAAAAAAAAAACAGGAAATCCCGCCCCAAACTCACACCAATAGTTGAGCCAGAAAAGTTGACTCGTCAGACTGACCTACAAATGGATTACTTATAGTTGTGTGCTTAAACTACGATAGGAGAAAGTATTTAAAAAATGACAAACCTCATCTTTAAAGATAATGTTGATTCATAGAACAAATTATTTTAAAATTGATGATGTGTTAATGTGTTCCTACTAAAATGGTAACACTTAAAGATAAGGTTACATTTGATAACAGTCAATTATATTAGATAACACGTACTAACAATGAAAAATACTTTTAAAGCATTTATTCATTAATGTTAATTTTAAAATTTATTAAGTAATACATTACTAAAATCAAAAGTTGCATTTGCTAATATTTTTTAATGCTGAGCTAACATGAACTAACAATGAACAGTTGAATTTTTATTGACTAATGTTAACAAAGATTAATAAATACTGCAAAAAAGTCTTATTCATTTTTAATTAATGTTAGATACTGAATTAACTAATGGGACCTTACTGTAAAGTCTATTGTAAACCATGTTTTTTGATGAAGGACATTCAGAAGATGAACTGAAATCCCAGAGATGGTAGGTCAGCTGAGCTTTGGGTCTACATCACTGTCAAGTTCTGCATTCTGCTTGGCTGCACTTGAGTTTCCATTAGGAGCTGAATAAGTTAAAGGTCAATAACCGGGTTTGTGCAGAGTCAGCGCAGAAAACTGGACTAAAACCTCAGCAGATTTAAGAATTTATAACAATAAATCAGCCAAAACTGTGTCATTATTTACTCACCCGCATGTCGTTCCAAACCCCCATGCTGTTATGTCTGCAGTGACACACAGGAAAAAATTGAAACAAAGTGTCTCTCAAATCTAACACGCCATCAAACGTCTTTAGTTCTCAAGTGTCTTGAAATCATGACGTCAAACCTGTACACTATAGGTGGAGGTAAAGGTAAACTTAAAATATAGCGTACAAACAGTGTTGGGAAGGTTACTTTGCAAATGTAATAGGTTACAAATTACAAGTTACCCTATTTAAAATGTAATAGTAGTGTAACTTTTTCAATTACTTTATTAAAGTAATGTAACTGATTACTTTTGATTACTTTTTGATTACTTTTATAAATTTCTAATGAATGTTTATTGCAACTGTTAATCATTTTCAGACATTTACACCATGCAGGGTTAACCTTAAAGTAGTGCTCAACACTGTCAGACTTTCAAAATCCTTCCTCACTTGAATTAAGATGATCAAATTTGAACACATCCACCACAAAATCAGACTTTAGTACCGCCTTTTACTTTGACTTAACTAAGTAAACAAAGACAAAACTACAATAGCATATTTACAGATGAAACTGACCTGCACTTGAAACCCTGAACAGTAGTTTTGCTTCTCTGCTCCACCTGTGCGCTTCCACAGTCCACTCCATTCTCTCTCTCGCATTGATTACGCTGATCCAAACCGTTTGGCGGAGGCGCGGAGAGCACGCGAGCCGAAGCATTGCCAGTCACGACTAACCGATTCATGATTTATTAGAGATTTAATTATCGAATGGCGAATTCGGAAATAATCGCTTTAGTACATTCGGCAGGCAATTATATAATAATAATATTAAAATAGCGGGCCAAATCGGCTGCCAGGCCACCGAGAATTGTCCCGGTTCTCCCGATGGCCAGTCCGCGCCTGATTTCCACAGACACGCAGAACGTGCAGGATTCATATATTGTCTTTTTGCGGCTTAATATTCACAGACACTAGTCTATATCGCGTTTTGATTCAAGTGTGCTGACCTACTTTTGATTTATTCGTCCAAAATGTGGCATATTCCATCCGCGTTAGGCTATAGGAATTCCGTTTTTATGACTGTATTCTACGAACCAGTTTGTGTCTTCCGCATTGCGGAAATTATAGGGCTGTATGTCTGAGTAATCAGTGCAATTTGGGAAACAAATCAATTAAATCTGTATGTGGATGTGTGTAAATATTCAAATGTAATCCCCTTGTGTGTGTGTGAGTGAGTGTGTGTGTGTGTGTGTGTGTGTGTGAGTGTGAGTGTGTCTGTTTGTGAAAATACTCAGATGTTACCCCCTTTGTAATCATTAACATTTTCATAACTAACTGTAATTTAATGACACATTTTTTCTCAGTAACTGTAACTGATTACAGTTACATTTATTTTGTAATTAAATTACGTAACTCCGTTACATGTAACTAGTTACTCCCCAACACTGCGTACAAATCATATGTACTACTTTTATTTGTACTTTTTGTAGCTTGAGAAGTCTATACTTTAAAAGGTCTTACACCATGTCCTAACTACATGTGACGCGATGCAATGCTGCGACACACAATAAAAGGCATCTTTTCCATGTTAATCTGAGTTTTTGTCCTAACTAGCCGCGATGGCGACTAAATTTCTATTTTAGAAACGGTTTCTATTTCCGCAATATTGCGGCTGGAACAACAACATACAAACTATATTACAGTAGATAATCTCAGGTGATTATGTGCTTTATCCAAAGTTAAACGTGTCTAATATGAGTTTTAATATCATTTTGTGTGACTTTATAGCCATACTGAAAGCAACAATTGATAGTTTACCTTAGAAAATCAATCAAAGCAAAGATGTTAAAACTGAACTCAATGCGAACCAACAAGTGTATTCCATAACAAAGATGGTGTCAGTCACTCAGTGTGTACATTTATTAATGTTAAAAAGGTTTAATATTTATGAATTAGATCTTAAGGCCCCGATATACTTCAAACGACATCGAAGAACGAATTGAAATGATGTAATTTCGAACAAAATCAGGCCAAAACAAACTTCGTTTTAAGTTCGTTTTGGCAGTTCAAAACAGCTCACCAAAGCAGACTTTTTGGGGGAGTTCGTTTTGACTCCAAAACACCTTTGAGCTACCATTGGTCCGTGGCGATTACGCAGTCGGTGGGTGTGTTCTGGAACTCCGCCTTCTTTGACGTGCGTTTTTTTTTACCCCCGGTTCGTTTCTCATTCCTCTGAGGTCAGACAGGAGAACACATCTCCACGACTATCTTGCGGGCTGTGCATGGTCCAATCTTGAATGTTTCAGCCACACTTTGTTGCGTGGCCTCACAAGCTAGTACTCGGAGAGTCAAGGCCAGTCTCTCCGTAGTGGAAATCGGTGTCCTGTGTGTTTTTGCATGTTTCACATATGGCGAAACCCTTTTCAAGAGATCGTCAAACTGCACGGCGCACATTCTGAAGTATGAAAAATGCACTTCCTCATCTGTGCTCCGCATTTGCTGAATAAAAAGGGCAAACTCACCATCATTCTTTCTGTTTTCGTTAAGTGGACGCACATACCACCTCATTTGTTCTTGCTATTTTTCTTTGCCATTGAATAGATCAATGCTACTGCCAGATGTTTACGAAACTGTTCTTCTCTCACAGCCGCCATCGTTGTTGTGTTTAAGGGGTACACGCAGGCGGCATGACACATGTTTACAACCCCGCCTCCAGCAGCGCGGGGGTGTCGGAATGTTCGAAAACAGTATACCGTCGCTTAGCCTTTTCGAACTTCTTTTTGCCCTCAAACAAAGAACGAAAAAGAACTTCGTTTGAAGTATATCGGGGCCTTTAACCTTTCAATTTCAAGGCAATTTGCAAGTGCAGTATGCTTCCAGAAAAAGCCCGCCCACACACGCTTCTGATTGGCTGTAATATTTGATTGATTTTGTCGAGTCGCATTTGGTGTGGACAACCAAATTGCTTTTCACTGGAATCCTGTCACGTCACGTGTAGTTCGGACACGGTGTTAGTATGGAAAAATTCTGTGTAAAGACAGTTTTAAAGAAAAAATAACAGCAATGTCATGATAGTGAGTAAATGATGATTTGCTTTGTTTGGTAAATAATTAATTTAAATCCACAATTTTTGGACTTTTACTTCTGAAAATAAGTCTACATGACCACTGTACGATTTTAGGGCAACATTTTCCTCACATGACCTTGGAATCATCATGTTCTTTCTCCGTGTCTGCCTCTCCCTCGCTTATGCGATCCCTTTCACATCCTCTCTTCCTCCTCATTCTCCCTTTCAGCTATCACATCATTAGAGAGCATTCAAAGTTCTGGCATCCAAATCAACAGAAACGCCTCCTAAGTGATCCTCCCTTGGGCATATAATCCTTCACCATTAGAAATCTCAGAGACACACATACTTCCCTCCTCCAGCGGCTCACGTCAGGCAATCGTGACCCATTTGGATGGTTATTACTTACACGCAGGGGCCTTAGTCCCTGTCTGTCTAAACACACTCATCCGCTGGCTAGGCAGCTCTGGATATCTGTTCTGACTAAGTAGAGTCAGCAGTGGCCTTGGCTAGTAGCTGTGTGTGCATGTGTGTGTGAGTGTGTGTGTGTGTTTGTGACTGGCTCTATGAAGGAGCCCTCAGCATTAACGTGAACTGACGGCTCTTTGGCAAGCGCTTACTGAGTGGTTTGAGGATGCTGTTGCTGGCCTCCTCATTGTTCTCTGTATCCGACCTGTCCGAAGCGTTCTCAGTCACTTTCTCCTTTCTGTCCTTGTGACTTGTGCGTCGGCGATGACGTCTCCGTCGCCGGTAGCTCTTAGGCACATGCACACCGATGTATATAGTGTGGTGACCTGAGAAGGTAAAATTCAGGCTATAAAGTTCACATGACACCACACAAAGCATAAGTAACAAAAAAAAAACTTGAGCTTAAAAAAAGTAATCAATATTCTTGTCTAGTTTTTCAGTATTAATATTTAAATAGCCCTATAACAAGATTGGTTTTCCTGACAAGAATTATTTTCAAAGAATATAAGATTCAAAAGATTGGGGTTGGTAATATATTTGAAGATTTTTGAAAGATTTTTGAAAGACGTTTTGTATGCATTCATTTGAAACTACAGTAAAAACAGTAATATTGCGAACTATTATTACAGATTGAAAATAACTGCTTTTCATTTTTAAATATTTTTAAATATCAATTATGATCCTTTAGAAATCATTCTGATATGCTGATTTGGTGCTCAACAAACATTTTCTATTACTATCAATGTTGAAAAAAGTTGTGTTGTTCGGTATCTTTGTGGAAACCATGATACTTTTTCCAGGATAGTTTGATGAATAGAAAGTCTTGGAGAAAAGAGAAAGTTTTTAGAAAAGAATTTATTTGAAATAGAAATCTTCTGTAACATTAGAAATGTCTTTACTGACACTTTTTGACCAATTTAATGCATCCTATTAAAAAATAAATAAAAATAAATAAATAAATAAATAAATATATATATATATATATATAAAGTCTTAGATCTTTGAGTTCAGCTCATGAAAAATGGGGGCAAAAACAAAAGTGTTGCATTTATAATTTTGTTCAGTATATTTATCTATTCTATTTATTTATCTGTTTATCTATTTATCTATAAATCTAAATCTATTTAAGTCTTTACCTTTGATATTTTAGTTTTCAAATGTTATTTATCAAATGATAATTAAACAATGAAGAACAGTGTTCTTGAAACTTGGGATATAGGCCTATCCAGACCGTGCAATTTAATGCACTTTTGGCATTTAAAATTTTAGAGACAAATCAGGTGACAGGATGGTGGAATGATGTAGAATTTGCATTATTCCTTTAGTGAATCAGGAGCGAACACATCACAGGCAACATCTGCAATAACAACACTATCAGTGGCTGCAACTCATTCTGAGTGAATCCCCCTTAGTATATCTAAAGGCTCTTGATGACATAGATAAACTCATAGATAGACATAGATAGAACTAACCGACTCAATCCAAGCCAAGTAAATACAATAATGTCAGTCCTAACATTGTTGTTGTCATGAGATAAACGGCTCCCTACTGTCAAGATAACACAAGCCACGTGACCATCCTGCAACAACTCAGTTCAGCATCTGTAAGATAAATAATGTGTAGTGTCACTAAGGTCAGGAGCTGGATGTCCAATGTTTGCTTGTGGCCTATTAGTTAACACATATGATGTAACCTGAGTAAAGACGTAAATAACCTGCGTGACTTCCTCAACGCAATTTATGCAGGAAATGGTGGATTCTACCGGAGGGGTTTGCAGCAGACTGTAAAACTAAATATTTTGGCTGAGAGAGCTAGCAGGTAGTGCGGAACGTCCAGTGTTTTGATCCATATCATACAGACACTTTCCATGTCTCTCCCTCAGTCACAAGATGTCCATCTGTTAAAGCTACATCCCAACACTGTGTTACTGTGTAACTTTTTTGGAACTTCATGTTTCATTCTGAGAATTCTAAGCTTCTCCAGGCTAATGCTACAACTGAACTAAGATGTTTAATAATCTAAAATTTCTAACATGGCATAAATGGTCAAATAATCAATTTGCATTAGCACAGTGTGCTGTCCCATAGACAGCAAGGGTACTACCACGATCAACGTCCAGAAACTTAGCAAGGAGTTCGGTAAAATAATCCTTCGTAATATTACGAAGCTACGAGAATACTTTTTGTGCGCAAAAGAAAAAAAAACGACTTTATTCAACAATTCGTCTCCTCCGTGTCACCTTAGCGCCATTTTGGAGAGTATCCACTGAATGCAAACAGTATATGTTGTTCTGTGTCAGCCGCACCACATGGATACATTGTTTTCGTTAAAATCAAAACACAAACAACGTAGAAAACGTATCCGCGTGGCGCAGCTGACACAGAACAATATACGCTTCTGGACGTTGATCGTGGTAGTACCCTTGCTGTCTATGGGAGGGTCGGAGAGCTGTCAGATTCCATCAAAAATAACTTAATTTGTGTTCCAAAGATGAACGGAGGTCTTACGGGTTTGGATCAACATGAGTAATTAATGACAGAATTTTCATTTTTGGGTGAACTATCCCTTTAAGAGTCAGTGTTCAACCAACACCTTTACTTTACTTTAAGTAAAGCAATTTGTTATGGAGCCAAAAAATTATTCTTATTTGATGCACTGAATTTTAATAATTCTTAAGATTTTCATGAAAAGCAGTGACAGGGTTACAGAGCGCATCTCAAATGAAGGTTTTATACACCAGTTAAAAGTCAAAGAAAAAAGTACAGCAAAACAAACAAATAAATCCCATTAGAATTTATTCAGGTGCATCTTATTTTTCACATACAACACCATCTTTACATCTTCACCCCAGCTGTGGTGCCACAGGTCACACAGTGATCATGATTCACACCATCAGAGAGACTAACAGACCACCACAGTGATTCATGAGCCTCACAACATAACCAAGTGTGACAAGGTTAAACGCAGGACAATCCTCACCATTAGTCGACAGATGAAGCCATTGGAAGCAGTAGCAACACGTCTTAAATGGAAAGATATCCAGATGACTATAGATGAGCCAAATTAGTTCATGCAAGAACATTCTGTATTGCTTTTGCATTGTCTTTATTTTCTATGTCAGTTTGGTCTATTCTAATTTCTATTTGGTCTAAAATTACTTACTTTCCAATATGTTGCATGTAAATTAACATATTTTATGCTAAACAGATTCAGGATGTACTGGGTTGAAAACCAAGGGCTGGATTTTTTTGTGTGGAGACTTCTTCTAAAAAAAAGTTGATCTATGTTTTTCATTTTATTATATTGATAATATACTGTATGACTGTACTCCTGTTTTTATGATCGTATTAATGTGTTTCTTCTCAAACAGAGACAATCTTACATTAACCCTGTCTCCAGTACTTTAAACTAAAAGACGTGCTTCCACCCCTAAGGTTCTGAGTCTGACCAGATGATTATCCCCTGAACCTTAACACAATAATCTATTTATTTTGTGCAAAGTCATAAGATACATCATCCATTCTTATAAATTATGCAGAGTGTATTGAAACTGGATTCACAGCCCTGCTGTCTCTTTTTGCTTTCACTGCCAGCTAAAGATCACTGCATTTGAATGCTGTCCAAATTTTCTTTACAAAGGTGACGTGTTTGTTTGCATTAGGGCTGTGCAATATATCGAAATATCGCAAAAGTACATATCGCAATATGCATATCGCTACACCTTGCAATATTTGGGGCCATGAACAAATGACAAAGAGAAACTCACTCACTGCTCTTACCTAAATAACTTTTGTAGCTAAATAAGAATCAGTGCATATTGAATTCAAAGAGTAAATACTACGCAGTGTTTTATTTTTCCTTTTTATTATTCAGTTCCTAAACTCATGTTAAAATGAAATTTTTATGTAATGCGTGAGTAAAACATCATGTGGCACTTTAAGCATTATGGTATCGCATATCGAATATCACATTATTTAATGAGTTATCGCATATTGCATTTTTCTTCAATAACGCACAGCCCTAGTTTGTATTGAGTTTTATCTAATCTTTTCATCTCTTTATCTTACCTTATTATAACTTCATTATATGTACTTTACATTTCAACATCTACAATAGGTCATACTTTGTTACAATGTAATTTGTCGCACTGTCATAATATGAATTACTTTATATTTATTTTGACCAAAACAAAAATGTAGTTACAAAAAAGCCTTTAAATACTAAATGTTACTTAGACACAAATTGATTGGGAAAAAAAGACATTATGGATATAAATCTATAGGTTGAGGAAGTGATCTGTCTGTTTGTCTAAAGTTAAGAATCAGTCAAATCGGTCAAGCTGCAGGGCGCATCCAGTATCTTTTCTGCAAACATTCTGGAAACTTATTGCAAACTGTTGACATTTTGCCATTTTCTTTGCTTGTTTTTAATAAACAAATGGTGCAGAATAAGGTATAGAGAATAAGAGTAAGAGCATGGTGCAGAACCGTTTATGAATAAGGATCCCACCTATGCTGGGATGGGCGAGAGCAAAATAAGGAAAAGGGAGTAAGAGCAAGGACTAAGAGAAGGAAAGGGAGAGGTAAGAGGGAGGGAGGAACCACAGATTGTCGAGCCAGCTTTGTACCAAGCTTCCTGTTCTTTCGGAGAGACCCTTTTCTATGCGACCATAGAAAGAGGCCTAAATTGGAGTGGCACGCAATTCGTCACTGGATAAAGCGTATTCCCTGAATCTGGCTGGGCCCTATGGGCTTCAACTTCTGAGCAACTTGTGTTACTGCAGTAACAGAGCTGTTGAGTTGGAGGGTACAAGTACAGAAGATAGCAACACACCACTGTGCATGCTAATATAGCTGCTAATAAAGCTCTACCTAAAAGAACTGCCACATATGGGATCTTTGTCTAGCAGGCACATGTTGCTCTGTTATAGTTTACTTTGAGGGCAGACCATTGCTATTTTTCGGATTTCTAAGACTAATGTTCTTTTCATTGTACTACCGTTCAAAAGTGGGGTCAGCAAGATTTTTTTTTTTTTTAATGAAATGAATACTTTCATTCAATAAAGATGCATTAAATTGATAAAAATTAACAGTAAAGACATTTATAACGTTACAAATTATTTCTATTTTAAATAAATGCTGTTCTTTTGAACTTTCTATTCATCA